AAAATTACATAGCAAAACTCGTTTGTAGCAGCTGATACTCACATGTTGTTTTGAGAAGGAAGTTTTGCTGAAAGCATCTTTCCAAATTAGTCACTGAGCAGTGCGCACGTGTCTTTTTTACCAGGATCAATCTATTTCTGTCTGTACCGGGCCAGTGTTAGTGTGTGCATGCAATGTACTGATTAAACTGTTGTATGTTTCTGTTTTGCTGGCAATGTTCTCCAATGCAGACCACATAGCATTGATCATTGAACTGCTGGGAAAAATCCCTCGAAAATACGCTATGTTGGGGAAATATTCCAAGGAGTTTTTCACCAAAAAAGGTAACGGTATTTATGCAACACTAATTTAAAGCATAATACTATCCAAAAGGACAATATGTTCATTTATGGGTACTGAAGAAATACATCCATTTAAATGGAGAGCTCTTATTAAAGAAGAATTTTGGTGTAAACTTGGCTTTCCGAGAAAAGCCACAGTTTGCAGTATTCATTTCAATATTTCATTTCAAATTCATTTTGGGACGGACTCAACAGAGTGTGGATGTTAACGACTGTCTGTGCGAATCTGTCGTCCGGCGTTCATGTAAATACGAAGGATCGAGAGCGGCGCGCAGCTTGTCAGGCGGTGGGGAATCATGTCGGCTACTTCTGATCATACGCGGTGCTCCGGCAGACGCCGCTGCTGAGGGGTGACCGGGGTGGGGACCGGCGCGCGGCTGCGTGCGGTCAGTCCTCGCGCTGCCCGTAGCCTGCCCGCCCGGCGGCAGGGTGACCCCCGTGCCCCACGGCTGCTGGCCATGACTTGGCTGTGTTCGGCCTCGCAGCCCCTCCAAAATGAAAACCCTGAGCAAACGCACCGGGCCCTGTGGGTCGGGTACGTTTTTGTACTTTTATCTTCGCTCAGGGCTGCTCTTTAAGACCCGCTTCTGACACGCGAGGGAACGCGGTGATGCTTCGAGGGTCTGTTGTCCCCTCGGCGTGTGAGGCAGCGCTGCGTTGTGTCGAGGGGCAGGGTATGTCGGGGGCATCCCACTGCTGGCGCAGCACTGCTGGGGCTCCCCTCTTCCCCGTGGCTCCGCGTGCCTGAGCGCGCAGCTCGCCGGCAGGGCCAGCGCCGGCCAGCTGCGTCGGGCACGTGGGGTGCCGGGAGGGGGGCTGAGGCGGCAGCGCCGTGCCCCGAGAGGTGGTGGTGGGGGGGGTGTCACGAGGCAGGAGACAATCCAGTGATTCATCCCCCCCCCTTGCATGAGAGCCGCCCGTTCTGTGTGTGGGTATTTGTGGTGCGGCGGGGACCGCTGCTGCGTGCCTTCCTTGCCTTCAGGAGGATGTAATGGCGTTAAAAACAGCGTGAAGAAGGGCAACGGTGATGATTGGAGGTAGAGCAGCTGCCGTCTGGGGGAGTCTGAAATGCCTGGGGCTTTTTTGTGTGGAGAGGAGAAGGTTGCTGGAGGAATAATAAGATTTACAAAATCGGGAAGTCAGTGAAAACAGAGCTGTGGTTTGCCAGCACCCACTGTAGGAGAGCTGGGGGACACCCAGTGCAACTTGCAGGGGGCGGCTGTAAAACAAGCGCTTCCGTACACAGCTTCAGGAGCCGCCTGCTGCCACGGGGGCCCTAGGGAGAGGCTCTGTCAGCAGCCTCAAAAACAATCTCACGTTAAACCGAGATGAACAAACTCTGGGCTGGCAGGTCTGTATAAAGCGGTAAAAGGGCTGGGCAGGAGACCTCCCCCGGCCCCCCCCCAGGGATTGCAGCTGCAGGGGCGAGGGCAGGGCCACCAGAAAGGCTCCTCAGCTGCCCTCCCTGCCCCTTCCTGTGGCCACTGTCAGGGGCAGATACTGAATTAGAAATGCCCCCCTGGGCCCCCGTCCGTGAAGAGTATCTCATGTTCCTAATTTTCGCTTTTCACCAGATGCGTTGGTGTTTTTTAATAATATAATAGAACCTTAACATGACCTAACAGTTACACAATAACCCCGGTGTTTGTGGTGTACAGAGCAGGGCAGTTTGTAAAATTCGCATGAAGTGGAGAGTTTCATGTACTTCCATGAGCATCTTCCACTGCAGAGTGTCGCTGTTGTCCTCCAGGGCCTGAACTTCAGTGACGTTCCTCAGAGGCACCATCTGCCATGACTCTGGGTGGGATTTGAGCACTTCAAAAGACTTGGTTCACCCACCACACAAAATGTAAGCGCAGGGTTCCTGTGGAAGATTAAGTAGGCTGTATCCCAGCTGTTCTACTCGAAACAGAAAATCTCAAATGCCAGACAAAGCAGTAATAGCCCAAACTGCGTTTTCAGATCATACCAGTTACTCTGCTGTTGCAAGTCAGGAAAACTGAAATGCTTTGTGGAGGGAAAATGGAGGTGGCGAGTTTTCTGCTCATTTCTTTGAGATTCTTTTCCATTGAATCAGGCACCAGATACCTTTTTTCCTTTGTCCTGGCCACCCCAGTACTGCCAGCCTCTCCGGTGCCCCCAGGAGGGATTTGTGTTTGGTGGCTGGCAGGGAGTGACAGGCTTCACAGTTGGCCAGCAAGCTGCTGCATTCTGCACTCCTCTGCCTGTGGCCTGAGCACTTCCAGAGGCCACGTAATACAGGCCTGAGGCTCTTAGGAAAGCGTGGTGTACACTGTGGTGTAAAGGTGGATGTAGAAATCTAACTCTTGGCTCCTATTTTGAAAACATCAGCTCTGGGTGAAAATAAAGAAGGCACGACTTGGGCATTTGCTCCTGTCCATAAGCAAGTTCAACCTCAGAGAAAAGCTTTAAGCATTTGAATTGTTCCCCTGAAGTCACAGGGACAAAAGGAAAGGTGGTGTCAACGAATGAGTTTACAGGATTGAGTCTCTTCTCAGTAACTGCCCGAAGCAGTTTGTGACATTCAATAGGACGGTGCTTTTAAAAAAGGAAAAGCATTTATAGGTTACTTCTTAGTCACTATAACACAAATGCTCACATACTTTTTATAGGGTCTCATCTTGACTGAGCCCAGTAATAACTGCAGTGAGTCCTTTTCTCTAGTGCCTTCATGGAAGCTATCTTGTCTCTAAAAATGATTAATACGTTTTGGCACTAAAGCTTAAAACACTTGTGTTTTTTTTCTAGACCATGGTCCCTTTTATTTTCCTTCTGGTATTTGCTAGCCCTGTTACCTAGTGAGCCAAACCTGTGCAAGATGCTGCCTAGGAGCCGGCTTTGCCCCTTGGAATTTGTAACAAGGAAAAGCCCTGCTCTTTGCTTACTGTCCGGGAAGGGAAGGGGAGGGCTCACCTCCACCTCCCCCGCTTCCACCCACTACTGTACCCTGGGGCCTCCCCCACAGTTCTTGCATTAGTTCTCGGGAGCGTGTCCTCCAAATACGCGGTAGCAGATATCCCACGGCTGCTTCCCTGGTCCTTCACGTCATCCGTGTCTTGCTGTTCAGTAATCCATCCTCCTCTTGCCTGGTGACACATCTTAAATTTGTCTTTGACGGATTTCACAGACCTGCTCTGTTTTTTTGTGTTACGGTCAGCAGAGAAAACTTCAAATAGCATTTTCCCCCCTACAGGTCCTTCAGAAATTCCTTTAGTAATTTCCTCCTGACTTAACATTCCACTTGCCGGAAGGTCATTGCTGCCTCTGCTTTGGCCACAGGGGTTTTACAGTTCTGACAACTCCGTTGTCCTCTCAGGATATTTCCTGTGCTTCACTGTCAAAAATCTAAATAAAGAGCTTCTGTTAGGCAGTTTTCACTTACTATTACATTTTCAGCATTTCTTTGCAAATTCCTATTAAATCCCTGAGTACTGATGGTGTCAGACCAGTGGGCCTGTGCTTTTCATTTCTCCCTGAAATACAGGTACTGCCTTGCTCTCCTCCAACTGCACGGTACAAACCTCATGAACTAGATGAAACTCTGGTGTTGCCAGACCCCTCCATTTCCTGTGCTGCTCTCCAGCGCGTCAGGATGGAAATGAGATGGACCCACCACATCAGAATAAATTCTTAAAGAGTTTTTCATCCACCTCAGTTGTTTTAATTGCCTTTTCCTTACCCTGTTTTGATTCCATGGTCAGCATTGTGATCTTTATTGAAAAACAAAGCACTAGTTTAATTCGTGGCCGCCACACAGATAATTTTTACTCTATCCCATCTTAAACGCTTTTACAGTCTTCTTGGAATTTCTTGTGGAAGTCTTCAGCCCTTAGCACTAAAATAGTTTGTTCCTCAGCAGAAAACCACTACAGAATATTGTGCTGCCCAGGGTGTGCCGGTCTTAGCTTGGGAATTTCAAGTTCAGCCTCCACTTTACAAAGTCAGAAGTGTTCAAACAGTAGGAACTCGCCTTCCACAGTGACTCCAGGAGCTTCATCTTGCAATCTGACTTTCCTCCCTCAAGTTGTATAAAGATGTCTAAAACTACATCATTTGAATACAAAGGCGAGGACAGTGCTGCATGGAAACACACACACTCCCCCAAAGCTAGTCAGTCCAGATTGATAAATGATTATGGCAACCCTTGCAGTGAATGCTGTAAGCTGGAGAAGCTGTGAACACGGCCCGATTTATTTTTTTTCTTTTTAGCCATTTTTTGCTTGCAGTCAATAACAAGTCACTATTTTCTATTGCTTTTTGGCAATAGTTTTGTGTTCTTATTAGATAATTTACTACCTGTTCTTGCTAGTAGTCACCAATACACACTTTTGGAAACCTTCAAAAGAGCAAGATTTTCAGGAGTTTAAATTTCAGAGTTGCACAGAGATTTTAAAGGGCTGAGAGTGAGCCTGGAAATGAATACACTTCTCCGAGAGGTGCTGTCCCTTCTGTACACCCATACCATGGGACAGTCAGGGCCCAAAGCAGCACCTTTTTTTGTTTGACTCACACGCACCGATGGGACACGCTTGTGCTCTGAATATACAGACCCAGACCGGCAGGGTGCTCCCCCCTCTGCTGCCGTTCCACTCTCGGCAGCCCTCCTGCCCCGCCAGAGGGAAGGGAAAGGGGACAGCGGGCCGGCTGTGGGCAGCGCATCTGGACTTTGTTACCAACAGGTCTCTGCTCTTTCTCTTGCAAGTGGTTGACTGTTTGCTGTCTTGCTCTTTTGGGGTCTTTATGACAGCACCCAAAGAGCTGCTTTTTCAGGTGCTGCGCCCTGCCTAGAACCTTCTGCTGTGGCCGTTGTAATCTATTGCAGTCGGATGCTCAGACTCCCAGGGGCACTCGGAAGCCGCGGGCTTCTTCTGCCCTGGAGCTTCTGTAGCCACAGGGATGTACAGAAACCGCCCTGCGAGCTGAGGGCGTTTTACAGAACAGCCAGGGAAAACAATCAAGTTGCCAAACGACTTTGCTTAAAAGCAGTGCGGGCTGTGCGCCCCCGTCCCGGATGGTGTAGCGTGCTCGAGAAGCTACGGGTGAGTCATGTCCAGCTTCCAGTACTGGGGGAGAACCCTTTGCCCTCCTCAGCAGTTCAGGGGACACCACAGAATCGCCACAGGGGTCCCTGAAGTGCTTTTTCTAGCGTCCCGTGGAGACTTGTCTGGCTCAGATACGCACCTGGGAAGAAGGGGGATGGCAGTGGAGGAGCGGGGAGATGCCGGAAGGGTTTGTCTTCCCCATCGTGCCAGTTGACCCGTGGATAGAGGTAACGCTGCTGGTTTGATGGCAGAAGGGTTCCTGCCTCCTAAACACGTCGCCCCCTCTCTGGTGGAACATGGAGCCCGCAGCCGCTGCCACCGCTTGCATTGGTGGTTGGCTGAAAGAGACGTCGGCAGCAGCAGGTGCTTCCTCCTCAGGAGGGATCCGGACCCAGCCTCGGGGGGGGGAGGGGGTTGCCTGGGAGGTGGGGCAGAGTCTCCGCGCGCCGAACCTCCGTGCTTGGCTGGTCTGGAAGGAATCGCTGCTCTGCTGCCGAGTCGGCAAACGCCACGTGGCGAGGCGGTGACCGGTGTGGCCGAGAAGCTCCATCTTGGGGTCGGAGCAGTTCTGGTAAACTTCGGGTTCGTTGGCTGGTGAAGGAAGGGCCTGCGGCGTTGGTTGCCGGTGGCGTGAGCGTGCGTGTGAGTGCCGCAGCGTGCGGGAGGCGGCCTGAAGAGGGGAGGAAAAACCGGGAACGATGCGGACAGCGGAGTCCGGGTGTAACGTACAGTTGGGCGTAGGAATGATTTCTCAGTTCTGACATCGGACATGCTTGTCTCCTTCGAGGACCTCAAGCGAGCTCGCAGCGTGCTGCCCTTCCTAAATCACGCTCCTCGGCCTGGTCAAGGTGCTGTGAATGCAGAGCGGGAGAAAAACGAAACGGGGGTTAGTCACCAACAGGGGTAACGAGGTGTTTTTCTAATGCCAGTCGTATTTGTGTTTGCAGGAGAACTCCGACACATTACCAAGCTGAAACCTTGGAGTCTTTTTGATGTGCTTGTGGAGAAGTACGGGTGGCCTCACGAAGATGCTGCACAGTTTACAGATTTCCTGATCCCCATGCTAGAAATGGTCCCAGAGAAACGCGCTTCAGCTGGAGAATGCCTTAGGCATCCGTGGCTGAATTCTTAGCAGAATCTCCCAGCTGTAAAAAAAAAAGCCAGCAACCACTTTCCAATGCATCGGACCTAAACGGTGACTGTCACAAATTCTTTAGCAGGATCACACGTGAGCTGGCTTCAATCCTCAGACCTTTATTTTGCTTGAGGTACTGTTTGACATTTTGCTTTTTGTGCACTGTGTTCTTGGGGAAGGGTAGTCTTTTTGTCTTCAGCTAGTAGTTTACTCACCCACTTTCTTCAGAAAACACTTAACGTGTCTTTAAGCATTGTTTCTTGTGTTGTGTGGCATTCAGATGTCAGATTTTTGAACAAAGGAAACTTCCCCCCATGTGTTTTGGCAAGTTTTGTAACTATTTATGAAAAAAAAAAAAATATTTTAGCTGATGCATATTATATAATTTACAAGCGTAAGAAATTTATCAAGTCAGAACTGAGTTACGGCGAGGAATTGTACAATTTTATCTTCTGGCAAAGGGACGTCATTCTTGTATTATAGTGTATGTAAATGCACCCTGTAAATGTTTATTGCCATTTAAATATGGGACTGGGGACTCGATTTCAGAGTAAAGCGACTAAGTTTCAGAGAGCTTTATGGCAAACCAATTGCATGTAGTGGACTTTAAACTGCTTTAAGGAATTGTGTAAACTTTCTATTCTGTAGCAGTTCCCGTTCATTGGATTTTAAACAAAGTGGCTCTGGTTTACAGGATTTCATTCCCCAAACGGCACTTTAAAGGAAGGCTAGACTTCTTTCTAATAAAGTATGCATTATCATTTAGCACTCCCTTTTAGAACTTTTGCCTATTTTAAGTGCTTTTAAGAAAAGAAAAATAGCAATTTCCCTTACAATGTGATAGTGAAGACATGGTACCATATGGTGTTGCCTTTTTATAAGCACTGTAAGTTGTACTATACCTTAAGGAAAAAAAAAAAATAATTAAAAGTCGAGCATGAGAACCACTCTCTGTGTAGAATTACTGATCTTTTATAATAAAAGTGTGTGCTTGGCATCAGTTAAGGAAGGATATAGCTGCAGATACTTACAGTGCAGTGGGTAAAATAATCCAAGAAGCGAGATCATGCTCATTCCATTCATAGCTTTACATGTTTCTAAAACAAATTGCACTAGCTTTATTCTTTCCCATAACTAGACATACGATTACCTGTTGTAAGTTGCACGCAACAATTACGTGTTTCCTAGGAAAAAAAAAAAAAAAAGCTGCATAGGCTGAAGCTTATAGGCAATACAGATTTTAGAATGTACAGTACGGAGGTGTGTTTTGGCCTCTTTTAGAAGTCAGTGGGATGAATGTAAGCTTACTTCTGATCTTCATGTAACTACGGTGCCACTTTTTTCTTGACTTTGTCCATATGAAATTTATTCACATGCCTTTGCAATAACTAGATTGTGAGACGATAGCCCCATGCTGTAACAATAACCAGTTGTTTGAGGTGCTTGCAGTTGTCTAATTAAAGTGTTTTGTTTTTTCAGACAGTGTGCTGGTCATTGGACTCTTTGCTAGCCCCGACTCCAGCTCTTGGTTTGCGGGAGGGCGGGGGGGCGGGGGGGGGTTGGTTTAGCCCGGCCAAAGCCCAGGGCAGCTTCTGCCATCAGCCTTAACATCCGTCACCTGGCGGAGGCCAGAGCGTCCCGAGGGGCGAGTGGCCCGGGCTGCCTGATGCCGTGGCTGAGCGAGACGGGGCCAAACCAAAGAGCGTTACCGATTCCCTAGGAGGTGCTGAACTGCTCTAAACAAGCAGAGGATCGCCCGGCTGCAGCCGCCCCTCCCCGCGGGAACGGCAAAGCCCGCGCCCAGCCAGCACGGCGCAGGCGCGGGGCCCGGGAGCAGCTCGTCCCCACGCTTCCCCCCGGAACGGCCGTGGCGACGACGCCGGCGCCAAGGACGAGGCCGCGGCGGACTCCAGAGCCAGAGGTACAAACGCTGTCCGGCTTCACGCCCGGCCTAGCCGCCGGTGGTGCCTAATTGCTGCAGCTGATGAGGAGCTTGTTCTTGAGTATGTAGAAAATCCTCGGAGGGGGCCGAGGTGAGGCGAAGCGGGGCCCGTGCCGGTTCAGCAGCGCAGGGAGGCCCCGTCCCGCGCGGCAGTGCCGCTCCAACACCTCGCCACCTATGGCGTGTTTTACACTCTCTTGTATCTGATGTAATGGTGACCTACCCTACCGCACGGAGGGAGGGAAGGGGGTCAGGCCACCCCGATGCGAGTGCTGGGCTGTGGAGGGGGACGCAGTTTTTCAGAATCTCTGCCCGAGCGGCCCAACAGGGCGGGTTGGGTTGGGCGTTTCTGCTGTTGTTGGCGGCCTCGGCCTGTTCTACTTCACGTCAGCGCAAAGTGTGGGCCGTACCGTGCGAGTTCCGCACAGCCAGCAGCTGTTCAGGAAGGTACTTCTAGTGTGCTATTTTTACTAATAAAATTTTTCAGTAGAGGCAAATGAGAATTTAAAGTAGCTGCCCTTTTTTTCCTACATGTTAAAAAGAATTAGCACCTCTTCTCAGCCAGTAGGAGCAGCCGCTTCCCCTCCTGTCGCGTTTCAGCCTTTCTCACAGGCCTCTTTTCTCCTCTGGTCCCGCCGTCTCGGTCCTCGAGCGCCGTCCTGTTGGGTGAGAATTCAGAGCTGTCACTACCGGGCTGCCAGGCCGCTGCCCCCCACTCCCAGCTCAGCCTGGCCCTGCGCCCCACCAGCGCAGCAGGAGTGAGCTCCCCCCGGGGTCAGGCCCCCCCCCCAGCCTGTCCCCCCCCCTCCCCGGAGCCGCCCAGGCTCGGCGTGCAGGGGGCAGGTGGCTGCATGGAGCAGTTGAGGTGATTTTTGAACTCCGTGGGAACTCTGGCAAGGTCCTGGTGCCCACCCTGCACTCCCCAGAGCAGGGGAGAACAGGCGGGTGCCCCCCACCCCTGCCACGCGGGTGTTCCTCCCCTGGGGGGTGGGGGGAGCCCCCCTCCTGCGAGGGTGCAGCCGAGCCCCAGGGGGGCTGCTCAGGTACTGAAGGCCACAGCCCTGACGACATACCACCCTTCCAGGACAAGTAGGTAAAACTGACATAATTGTGATTTATTAACATGAATTAAAATGCCCAACCAGTGCTGCAATGTGACAGTATATTAAAAAAAATTTAAAGATCATATACTGTACTACTTTCACAAAGATCACACTTTTTTTTTTTTGCAAAAGAGACTTATTATATACAATACTATATCAAATGAAAGAAGCTTTAAGCAATTTTACAAGCAAAAGAAATACAGTATTTACAGCACTTGTCAGAGACATTAGAAACAGTCTATACATTAAATTACAATTTCTGCAAATAACTGATGAAACAAAAAGCCATGTCCACACCAAAACTATAAAAATTTGTATTGCATTGTTTCCTATCTCTATGCACACAAAGAACTGTTGACAGAAGAAAATGAAAAAAGAAAAAAAAAAAGTTAGTGCCATCACTTAGCCTGTGTACTTATTTAATTACATATGTATAAAAGTAATATATAAAACATTCACTAAAATGAATTTAACTGCAACAATAAAATTTTAAAGATTATGCAGCATCAAACCTACTGCCAGAAAAAACAGCTGGAATGTTCACTTACAAAATAAAAAGAAATACCTAATACTGGCTTAACAGCACATTTTCAGGAATTTTAAAAAGCAAAAAATGGAAAGAATACAATGAGAGAGCACTGGTGTTTGCTTTTATACAAAGTATCATGTACAAGCTTTAAAAAGTACCTCCAACAGGTACATATGAAATATACAGTTTATATTACAGAACATTTTAAAAATGTTTAGAAGTCGAGGGTCCGTTCTAATGCCACCCTGACCCATGGTAATTGTTCTGAAAGGTGGGCGGCACCTGTGCTCTGTGGAGGGGGATCTGTCCGGGCACGGGCGACGCCTGCTGTGGCCCCTGCACGGCGTGGGGGAGCGCCACGGAGCCGGGGTGAGGGCAGAACCCCGGGGCCGGGGGGGTCGCGATGCTGTTTGGTCCTTGAGGTTGGATATGGGGGCCCTGACCGGGCAGGGGGCAGTGAGGTCCCGTTCCAGCAGGCTGATGTTGAGGGCCAGGTCCCAGGGTCGTGTGATGCGGGGCCGGGGAGGAGTAGGAGGAGACGCTCGTGTGAGCGTTCGAAGGAAAATGGGGGGGTCCTTGATGGGAGGGGTGGTGCAACCCTTGTGCTGATGCAGGGTGGTGCCCCGAGCCCAGGACGCCGGAGGGGGGGGGCGGCGGGGGCGGCGGCGCGGAGCTGACGACGTGCTGGTGCTGTGCTTGCAAACCTTGGTGTCCAGGGGCAGGGTGGGGGGGCTGGTGGTGCGGCAGGGGGCCGGGGGGGGGGCGGCGGGGGGGGCAGGTGGTGCCCAGCAGCCTGCGAATGGAGGTGCGATCCGGGAGCTACTGCCACGGCGTGAACCGGCCCGACGACGTGTGCTACAGGGTGCTGCTGATGGGAGCTCTGCTGCTGCACCAGGTGGGGGCCCGGGGCCGGGGGCGGCGGGGGCGGAGGAGGAGCAGCGGCCGCCGCCGCCTGGTGATGGATCCCGGGGCTGGGAGAGGGCAGGAAATGCCCCGCAGGGACGTGGTGCCCCGGCCCCCCCTGCTGAGCCGCCGGGCCGGGAAGTGCTGGGGTTGGTCCAGAGGAGAATACAGTCTGGGGGGGGATGCTGCCCTTCAGCTGGCTGTAACTCTGAAAGTTTCCAGAGGGCTGCTGGCTTGGGTAGTAAGTAGAAGAGGGGGGTGGGGGCGGCGGGGGAGGTGGTGCGTTGCTGTTCAGGTTCTGTTGGTTAAACTGGCTGTAAGAAGCTGAAGATTGTCCTGAAGTTGTCTGAGGGAAGAGGGGGGCGCTGGCCGGCTGCTGAGTGCTGGGCTGGAGGGCCGGTGCTGCCGGGTAGAAGTTGCGGTGTGTTTCCCTCTGGGGCGCTGCCACTTGCGGCGACTGCGGGTGGTGAGGTCTGTAGGGAGATCCCAGCTGCTGCGAGGGGGGCTTTGGCGAGAGGTAACCGTGCTGCACCGGCGCGTGGGGCGTGGAGGGCTTGGGGGGGTTTTCCACGTGAGGCGAAGGGGGGCAATGCAGCTTCAAAGGTGCAGAAGGCAACTTCTGGGAATGGGCAAGTTGCTCGGCAGAACTGCGCAGGTGGGACTGAGATGGGTGATTTTTTGAAAGTGCTTGGACGTTGTTTGTCAGCTGCTTTTGCTGCAGCTCAGGTTTCGGATGGTTCGCACATTCGGCCTCGGGTGCGTTAGCGGCAGTTTCCCAGTGCGAATCTGGTTTTGTGGGTGTTTTCCCAAGTGACTGCGTTGAAACTACAGGACTCGGTGAAGAGGGCTGGAAGGAAAAGAAACTCAGTCAGTGCAAAACATTCAGAATAGTCAACTGCACGAGTTTGAACAAAAAGAACTCCTCAGAATACTGTTTGCTCCCTGTGATGGTGAAAAAAAAAAAAAGTGTTGAGGCACAGGATGTATATCTGGTATATGAAACCCAGCGACAACAGAAAGCTTAAACTTAGCAAGACACTGTTTCAAGCAAGCATGTTGCCAATCAAAGTCAAAGACTAGCAAGTGTAGTTTAGAGAGGTAACAGAAATACGACCCACCAGGTCAAAGTCAGAATCTGTCCTTCGTTAAAGTTTTAGATTTCTAAGTCTGAAAAACAATTCCAGACAAGACCATTTACAAAAATAAAGCCATCTTTCGAGTGATCCAACATTTGCAGCTGGCATAGTGCAAGGCAAACAGACTAAACACTACAACCTGAATTCCTTCATTTAATACTGTACGGGCACACATCGGCCTCTGAAACAGTGCCAAGCCCTGCCACGGAGAGAGCCGACGCCTCTTAGGGTACGCAGTACGGAAATCACATTACTGCCGCCAGTTCCGAGTGCCAGTTCTTCAGCATTCACTGCAGAACTGCAGGGATACCCAACCCACCGATACAATCTCTTCTGTGCCTACAGAACCTAAGATCATACACTAAGAGGTACAGCTACCGGAAGAACAGAACATAAACCAACTTTTTATTGTGCATGGACTACCACAAACGCTCTTACAAATGCTTACCTGCATGTTATATGATTGCACAGACACCCAAGTAGTAAATCATGAGACTGACATTTTTTTTAAAGAGAACTCAAAGATGCACGAGTGTGCTCATATGCACATGATACAACACGTGCATGTGCTAACAGGCACCTGCACACACTGGGCATTACCTTGCTTGCTTTTGACGGACTCTTACAAGTCTTTTGTGAAGTATCTGGGGACGGACATTCAGAAGTAGGCTCTGGATTTTCAGGATCAGGCTCTACAGACATAAAGCAGAGATAAATATAAAAGTGGGAAAAGCAAATCTTTTGCAAAGATCACTAAGCACTTTATATTTGACTTTATAAGAGCTGTTAAAGTTGTTGTAAGAGATTATTCAACATGTCAAGTGTCATACAAGGTCATCTGCTTACTGACCTTCCATAAATTCAGTGAAAGAAGGGACTTTAAGCTGCAACTGGGAAATGAGATTTGAATGAGATGAAGGTGGAGACTGAACATGAGACGGTGAGCATGGGCTACAAGGTGTCTCTCCCCCTACAGACGAAGCAGACCCAAACATCACATTAGAAAGATGACGGACTCCCGCGGGGGAGCTGGTTAGATTTCTCTACCTTCAACGTGACAAATCAACTCACCACTATCCTTGTCTTTCCTATGATCGCTGAGAAGTAAAGCTCTCTGATAACTTCGCTCTCTCACTTGTTCCACAGAGGTTGATGCAGTCCTGGAAGAAAGAAATGGGTTTTGAATGAATTTAGGAGGAGGTACACCCACTGACCAAGTTCAGGACAATGTATATGCAAATACAGGGTCAGAGAACGGTTAGTGTTGACTGCATGCAGAGCCAGATAACTGGCTGTACTAACAAATCACATTCCTTAAATATCTTGTATCTATTTTCTCCCACTTTAAGTATACAGATTTCCTGCAACCTTATACAAATTGACAACTCTTATTACGGGAACATCTGTAGATCTGGTGGTTTAGGGTTTTTTCCCCTTTTTTTTTTTCCGAACAGTGGGGAAAAACAAAAAAAAATAAAAAAAAACCTGCACTTCAAAAAATAAAGGTTGCAGCTACTGCTGGAAGTAGTATTTTTCTTTCTTCAAGAATTTGCTCTTTAGTAGTAGATCCATAGTTGTAAACTACTGCGTAACTACAAATATGTCTTTAAGCTTCTACATGTAACTTGCCAGACAGTGGGTATGACTGTCAATTTGTAACTTTTCTTATAATCAATTGCATCTGACAATCACAACCTAATCAAGAAGAAAATAAATTACAGTACTCTACAAAACTCCCATTTTCTTTCAGGCAAGAACATCCGGCATTACTCTACAATACTGTTGTACTAAAATAAATCTGTGTTGTCTGCAGGATTACTGCAAAAATGTACAAATAAAGTCCTCCCTGTTTAGCCTGATTCCACATTCTTTGCTTACAATATAGTACACTACTTCCTGCACAGTGAACTAACAGCCCCTTTCCAGTGAAACTCTGAAGACTGCACTTACGTTCTCCCTTCAATTTGCTCTACAAAATCCTTCTGCTCAGGAATAGCTGGAGCATCTGAGCAGAAGGATGTTCAACTCCTCAGCCCACGTTCGTCCCCACCACCTTAGGCCTTCGCTACAGCCTAAGAAACATCTGCAGGGTTTATTTTGTGCTAGTAGCATTCTGGCGACGGCACCACCACAGCTGACTGTCTACCTTACGGCTACCAAAGGTTGCGCAGCATTTACACAGGCTGAAGATGTTCTATCTCATCCCCCTTCACTCCGTATCTCTACCCAGGATTTTTGGTTGCAGCACCCAACAGCGCACACTGTCTGCACAGAGAGGAACCATCG